ATGGGTGGGGACCTCAACCCCCCCAGTGTTCAATCCAAAGTTACACCCTTCACCAAACCACACGTCTAAGATATAGTGAGAACAGTTGCTGTGACTGCAGCATAAATGAATCAGGATAAATAAGAGATAAATAAAGTCCAGATGGAGGCAGCAGGCCAGCCAGGCCCAGGGTCAGGGGTAGAGGCGCTGCCCCGGGTAGGTGTGGGCTCCCCACCACTCTGGCTGCAGCTCCCCCAGGATCTCCTCCAGAGCGTGGAACAGCAGGTCAGGGAGGGGGCCCTGGTACTGCTGCTCTTCCACAGGGGTTGACATCTCCAGGGAGGGCCCCCCGGCCGCACCCCAGCTCTGCTCAGGAGGCTGGCAGGCCTGTGAGGTGGGGGCCATTCCCCCCTGCCACATCTCCCAATAGCCTGAGTCAGGTGAGGTGGGCGTGGCCACCTGGGCCGGCGTGCTGCAGAGGGCGGGATTTCCCAGGGGAAACGGCTGTATGGGGGTAGATGGGAAGAAGGTCTGTCCACTGCGCTCCAGCGGCGGGGGGGTCCACAGTGGCTGGGGGGTCCACAGCGACGGGGGGGCACTGGTGCCAGGCAGCCTGGCCTCTCTGTAACGCGTGTCCCCAGCCGAGGGGGGGTACGAGGGAGACCAGAAGCACCCCTCCTCTTCCTCTTCCTTTACTGCTGGGTATTGTGGATGCAGGAATGGGGGGGGGCATGATCCTGACAGCAGCATTCCTGCCCCAGAGGGTGGGGTGACTGGGAAAGCTGGAGGAGCAGGCTGGGCAGACAGCACCTCCGGCTGCCAGGAGGACTTGCGGCTGGCCTTGCCCTTCAGGGTCCTGGCTCTCCGATTCTGGAACCACACCTGAGGAGGGGGGTAAGAGAGGAGGGCAAAGAGGCCATGTTAGGGATACGCTGACTCAGTGAGTGTGTCCATGCTGATCTGTCAGAAAGTCACTGATAATCAAAGAGTGTCTGTCTCTATCTGTCTGTGAGTGTGTGTGTCTGTCTGTGTCTGTGTGTTTGTGTGTTTGCCTCTGCCTGTCTGTGTGTGTGTGTCTGTCTGTGTGTGTGTCTGTCTGTGTGTGTGTGTGTGTTTGCCTCTGTCTGTCTGTGTGTGTGTGTCTGTCTGTGTCTGTGTGTGTCTGCCGGTTGTTTCACTGACCTGGATGCGGGACTCCGGAAGCCCTGTTGCCTGGGACAAGCTCTCCCGGATGCTGATGCCCGGATATGGATCAGTCTGGAAGGTGGCCTTGAGCAGATCCACGTGCTCCTTGGAAAAGCTTGTCCTCTTCCTGCGACTGGTGCTGCGGGTCCGAGATGCCGTGTCACTGGGCCCAGGTGGGCCTTGACCTGTGGAGAACAACATCAGGTAAGGGGGGGGAAGTAAAAAAGAGGGATAGCAACCACCCCCCCCCCCCCCGACCTCCGGCAGGAGGAGAACCACCCACATCTCACAGATTTCCCACAAAACTTTGTCCTCTCACCCATCAGATGTCCTGATACACACATCCATGCTGATTTTCCGGGATTCCAATTCAAACACCATATCTTATGTAGTACAGTCTAGTAAAAGCAACTTTCCTGAGGAACGTGCAGCCAGAGCCTGATCTGTGGCACAGTGGACATCACTTACCGAGGTAGGACTCTGTTGCCATGGCAATGATGGCTCGTTCTGAAGTGTATAGAAGGCA